GCTTCCCGACATCCGATCAGCCACCTTGAGAGGGCGAGTCATTTAGTGCTTGTCTTGGTTGGTGGGCTCCAGTCCCTGACCCACTATTTTCTTTATTAATTCTACAATTACAGCGTACCCAGTCATTTTAAACCTGTGTATAATGATTCATTAATGAGTTGTAAACTGCACTTAGTGAGTTATGACTAACATAAAAAAAAAAAAAAAAACAGGAGAGAAGAGAAAAGAGTAGGCATGAGCAGAGTGCCCTGCGCATAATAAGTACTTTTATTGTAGACACACTATGATGTACTGGATTGCAACTTTAAAAATGTACATTTTGAAATCCCTGTCTACCCTGTCTTTAGAAGGCAAAAGCACTTTAAGTGTCCCTCTTATGCCAGCTCCCAGCCTACCTCTCTGTAAAAGTTCTGCAATTCAATATATTTTGTATTTTATACTACCTTGGGCTCCCCAGAGTATTGAGTCGTAACTGGAGCACAGCCTTCCTGGAGCCCTCGCGTGATATCTGAATGAGCGCATGCCGAGTACAAAGGGTCCCTCTGCATATACACAAGTGTTGCGGCCGGGGGAGAAATCTAGAAATCATTTCCGAGCTCTCACCTCTGGGATCACCACCCTCCCTCGCCCACAACTTCACACGGCACCACTTGTTTAGATGGGCTGAGGAGGGAAGGGGGAAGGCCGGCCAGTGTCCACCGTCCCCTGCCACCAGACCCACTGCCCAACACCCACTCCTTTACCCCTGTCCTCCCCACCAATAGCATTTCAGGCGAAGCTCCAGCCCATGAAACTTGGCCTCTTTGAAGTGCCGAACGAGTGCCCCTGAAACTGTCGCTGTGCATCTGGTGGCGCTCCTCCTGCTGCCAGAGCTTTGTATAGGGTTCATGTCCCTTTCCTCTGAAACCTGTGAATGTAAATTCAGTTTTAAACTGGATCTTTTAACGGTTAGCCTCAGAAATGTCTTTGGGGGTGGGGGTGCCAGCACTGGTGAAGGGAGATACGTGCCCTTGAAAATTGGATTCTTTTCTGGAAAACTGCTGACACGGGCTGATCGGCAGAGAGCTAAATGACCCTACTGTTTCTACCTGCTGACAGGCTAAGCCTTGGGATGGGGCCGAAATTAGCTCTCATCACATGGCAGAGGCATGCCTTCCTCTTTTTTTCTTCCATACAAACGGGGTGATTTTGTGCCTGTCAAATAATACGGCTTTGTGGTGTAGATGTAGTGTAGATGGAATAGGCCACGAACAATGGCCCGCCCACCCCACTATTCTGCTAAGTAAAACAGCTACAGACAAGGTAAGAGGTAATCTCCCGGGATGAGGACCAGTTTGAAAGCCCTTTCATACTGTGCGTTCTTTGGGAAATGCTAATAGACAAAGCCATCCAAGCTCAGGAGATGTATCCATCCAAAGAAGAGTGACCAGCCTTGGCGTCAGGCAGCCCAAGACCGAGTAGCCTCTTTCTTGTTCCTTTGCATTTCTGCCGCTGTCCCCTTTCTTTGAGTGAGGTGGCTTTGGAAGATTCCAGTCTGGGGGAGATGCGGCTGTGTGTTTCGTTTGTGTCATCCGGTGCTGTTCTCTGTTGGAAAAGGAGGATTCCCTGCCCGCTTTGTAAATGCACAGCTGGCAGGAGCTGTAGCAATCTCACTGCCTTCCGGATCAGCTCCACCCCAGCAGCAGGCAGAGTGGGGGCCCCGGGAAACACGCTCTGGCTGGCGCAGTTGTGGTGAGTTTCAAAATAAAAGATCCCCGCCTAAGACACCATTGCACTTCCTATCCCATGGAACCCGCATTGTTAACTGTGCCACATCTCTATTCTAAATTTAGGCATCTTATTTTTTTTCCAGGCAAAGATTACTATGCAAACATTTAAGAGAAAAACTTTGCCCAAACTAATTTTTCCCCTCGACTTCTATTTGGTTTCCTGCAATGTTTAGATGACTCATTCTCTTCCAAGAAATTTTAAAGAAAAGAGATGTAGGCTGTGTGATAGGGCACAAAGACTGCTCTGTAAAGTCTCTTTTTCTTCCCTGCCTAGAAACCCGTTGCATGTTTTTAGGAGGGAACGGAAGAGCCCTGCAGACTTCATTCTCATCAGGTTTTGTTGTTCCCAGGATTAAATGTCCCTTTTGTCTTTGGGTGGGGCCCCCTTGTAGCTTCCCAGCTACAACCCTTCCACAGTGGCCGGCCAGCACGGAAGCCCTTCCTGGCACGCTGGGGCCACGCTGTCCCCACGCTGTCCCCAGAGGCACACAGTGAAGGTTTCCGAAACAGAGAATGGGTGGCCTTTGAGCATCCGAGAGAGGAGAGGGAAGCACTGGCTAGTTCCTGACTCTCTACTTGTGTCAGAATTGTTCCTGATTGCCAGGGGCTCTCTTGGACACTTTGACTGGGCTAGCTTCACGTGTGTTCCCAGCCCAGCCCTCAGCCACAGGGAGCCGTAAGTCAGAATCCGCTTCGGCAGCCTGTTCAAATAAACAGGGATAATAGTTGAGTCGGTCCTTTTCCAACTAATCGGTACACGAAAGGAAACATCTGCCTGGGCTTAATTGCTTTTTTATTGGTTATGCTTTTTTCCCCTCCTCCCTTCCCCTCCCCCCCTCCTCCTGCGGCTAAGTTATTTAAGTCATGGGTGAGCAACAGGGTAGAGGAATGGGAGCTTTCTCCAGGAACCTCTACCATTTAAACACAAGGAGGCAGTAAGGGAGGATGGGTGGCTGACAAGGGAGTTGGCTTTGAGGCCAGAGGGCAGGGTGTTTGGAAGTGATACTCATGGTCACTTCCTGGCCTTGTTGCTGACTCTGGGGCTGGTTGGTGAGTCATTTTGCCTCACTTCACCTCCTTGGATCTCTGCTGCTTCAGCGGAGCTCAGCTCCCTTCATGATGGGAAGGAGAGGCTGGTATGTGAGATTCTAGATGAAAGGCATTTCCTTTTGTGGCTTCTTCCAGTGGTTGAGGGCATTGAATGAGAGACATTTGGGAATGGCAAATTTAAGACTGGCAAAATACGCTCGAAGCCATCCATTTTGTAGAGTGTCTCAGTCCCGAAGGGGAACTCGCTCACCATCTCCTACTGGGCGGAACGAAGCCAACCAACCATACCCTGAAGTGGGCAATGGTTGAATCTAATGTGGGTTCAAGAAGCCAGGCAAAAGATCGTGGAGAATCATAGAATGGCAGAGGTTAGGAAGGGCCTTAGGATGTGTTAGCCTTTCATTTTACGGAAAGGAAAAGAGAGGCCCAGAGAGAGATTAATCGTGTTGTTCAAAGTTATCTTCTTGATGGTGGAGGAGCCAGGAATAGGAGAATCTTGTGATTGCTCATTCAGGGCTCCTTCCGCCCATTTCCACACAGCCAGGTGTAATGAGTCCGGTGTAGCCACAACAAAGGTCACACATGTTATATTCCATAATTAATTCCTTCGTAGAAAATGGCAAAGCATTAAAGAGAAATGAAAATGGCTCATTACGATCAAAAGGACTACCAATCACAACAGGACATCATGTCAACCTGTCAAGAGGAAAAAAGTGAAGCAACATGCACATGTGCTTCTGGTGCATCAATGAGTAGTCTTCGACTCAGCAATGTTACTTCTAGGAGAAAATAATGAAAGGTGTGTGCAAAGCTTATGCACAAAGTAACTGAATACAGTGTGTTTTATCATAAAAATTTATAAGCAAAGTAAATGTCCAAGAATAGGAGCTATGTCAATATAATCTTTTATAATTTTCTGGAAGAATAACATGTAGGGAACTATTTATAACATTTATTTAAGTGAATAAGTTAAGTTCCAGTGTGTATAATGCAACCCCCATTTCATGAAAATCATACCAAAAAGATTTGAAAAATAAAGTCTAGAGGGGTGATTTCTTAGTGGTAGGAATTAAGTTACTTTTTCTTTTTTGATATTTTCTACAGTTTTCTTTTGTGTGTGTGTATTTTTGTTTTTCCAGTGTTCTTATTAATTACAATACATATACTCCTTTTGTAATCAGGAAAAAATGGTTTTATAATCATACATCTTGAAAAAGCAAGATCATAGAGGACTATGTTTCTGACATGCAAGAACTCTTCCTTTCTTTGCCCGGGAGCTGAGCGGTGCCATGGGTAGTATTCTTCCTTTTGTTAGAAGGTCACTGTTGGTATCTGATTTGTAGGAAAGAAATAGAGCTGGCAGAAGATTAAATGAGGGCTTCCCCTCATGACGCAGTGATACCAATCAGTGTTTTAGCCCCTGCTCCCTTGGGCTCGGCAAAAAAAACCCACTCAGTATAGAAGGCGTGGCTCTTTTTTCCTTCCTGCTTCTTCATTCTTCTTTATTTCTGCTATTCCATCTGGGTGGTGAGATGCCAGCCCTCAATGGCAGCAGCAAAGAACCCAAGAGCCACTGCCACTTAGGATTGGCCAGTTGGAGACCCCTTAACATCCATTATCAGGATTGAGGAGCATTAGCTAATCTGCACACCAGAGTCATTATTGGGGTACTACTGCCCTGGGGGGTTGGGGTAGAAGTAAATCAAATAAGACAAATAACCCCTTCCTGCTTGGAGGTCTTTAGTCAGGTACTTTGAAGTCCTTGGATGTTTATATGCTTCTTTCTCTCTCATCCTATTTCATATCTGACTTGCATCCAGGAAGTCTTGATTCTCAGGAAGGCTCGACTGCAAGTCTCAGAGAAACAATAGTTGCTAGTTAGGAGGTGGCTTTTAGGCCTGCTCTTTGGAGACCAATCGAAAAATCACAGCCTCTACCCACTTGGCCTCCACATGATTGCCTTAGCTAGGCTATAGAAGGGGCGCATTTCATTTTATTAAAACTCTTTGAGTAATCTGACCGTAATTGGGTCTGATCGGAGTGGTTATCTGATTTGCTGGATTAAATAATGGGCCTTAATTGAGTCTGTGTTAGTTATAGAGCCAGTGTTGCTCTTGCCTTTGTCGCCCCCTCCTCCCTCCTTCTATTTCCCTATTAACCTTCATTTCTTTTTCCTTCCAGAGTAAAGAAGTCGGCCAGCAACTCCAAGATGATTTGATGAAGGTCCTGAATGAGCTCTACTCGGTAAATCATATGGGTGCCTGGCTCTTTAACAAGCGGAGGGAAGCAGCATTTGGCAGCTTGTGGCCATAGTCACATCAGCAACAGAACTGAGCTGAGGTTGAGGGCAGTGCATGGTCCCCATTGGGGGTGACTCCACCCATTTCTTTCTTCACACTCTTACTTTCAAATCTGAGTGAGCCAAAACAACACTCTCAGAATAAGATCCCTCCTTGGCTGCGCGAACTAACTCTGCCTTCATGGGGGCATCATCGCCAGAGACCAGCCAAAGCCTCTCATCAGTACAACTGACTCCCATTAGCAGCAAACCAGGGACCCCAAACCTAATGGCAAAGAACATAGTGTGCATTGTACCATTAATATGTGTCTGTTGGAAAGGACTTGATGTGCAAGGTTTTGCATCAGTTCTTGCATTGATCTATGGGTTTGAGACAAGAGCGGGTGCTCTAGAGGGAAGCACAGAGGCTTAAATGCCCCCAATCTAAGGGGCCGATTCAGGCAGAGAGAGCTTTGCACTGACTCCCTGGGGTTTTATAAAGGCCAAACCTCAGTGAAGAGGCAGGCTTCAGGTTTGGAGAAGAAAATACAATCTGTTTTGAAATGACTGGCACTTTAGGCACATGATGCCTGTGGCTGATGCGTTTCTTCAGGCACTGGAAGGTGGTGGTGGTGGTTTTCTCCCTAGCCGTGTTTAGTTAAATATAATTAGAACACATATGCACACCAAGGAAATTCCTGTTGCCGTACAAGGAATATTTTGATTATACAGCTAAAGCCTTTCAGGACCCCCTTCTTCAGCTGGCCTGTGCCCGGCCTTTGCTGTCAGTCTCTGGGGTTGCCCCCCCATCCTGTTGTGAAGGTGAAATTGATTTCCTGTGTTTACTTGCTTATTCACTGCATTTTCTTTTCTTTTCTTTTCTTTTCTTTTCTTTTCTTTTCTTTTCTTTTCTTTTCTTTCTCTTTCTTTCTTTCTTTCTTTCTTTCTTTCTTTCTTTCTTTCTTTCTTTCTTTTCCTTCCTTCCTTTTTTCTTTTTCTCTTTCTTTTCCTTCCTTTTCTTTCTTTCTTTCTTTCTTTCTTTCTTTCTTTCTTTCTTTCTTTCTTATTCACAGGAAGACAGGCAGTGGTGATATGCATCACAGGCATTTGGGATCAGAGAATTCCATGTTCTTGATCCAAAAGCCTAGGTGTGGCCATTTTGTCATGGCAACTATTGAACAAGTAAATAGGGTAGAGTAGTCATCAGACTGGTCTCCAGTGACGCTCAGTTTGTTTGGAATTCTGCTGTGTGACTCTTCTGCTCTGAAGGAGAGCAGATAGATGGTACTCTTTGGTTCAACTCCCAAGTTTTCATTTCTTTCAAGTGCAGTTAAAGCTCTTTATAAAAACAGAAGCGTGTTGATGTGAACCATTTACAGACTAGATGTGTTTTCCTGAACCCTATTGTCTTTGTAATGCTTTACTTCTGCTCTTTATTTTTAGAGCATCTTCTAGGCACCCTATTACTCCCATATCCTGGCAAAGAATTCACTAAGATAAAAATTTGACACATTCAGTCATTATATGAATCTTTTTATTTTTTTGCAAGTATCTTGGGCCTCTGCTCTTTATTCTTTCTGGGGAGGTGCAGGATGAATAAGCAACAAACTCCAAACTAGTTCAAACCCAGTTTGTTGCTTCTACAGTGGGACTTGGGGTAGCAGTGAAAGAACAGTGTCTGAGGATCCATTGGCTTTGCTCAGAGTCCAAGATCTCCCAATATGCTATGATTTTTAAAAAATAAATAAGGAAGGGGCACCTGGGTGGCTCAGTTGGTTGAGCATCCGACGTCAGCTCAGGCCATGATCTCATGGTTTGTGAGTTCTAGCCCCACGTCGGGCTCTGTGCTGACAGCTCGGAGCCTGGAGCCTGCCTCGGATTCTGTGTCTCCCTCTCTCTCTTCCCCACCACCCCCCCCACCCGCCCCTGTCTCTGTCTATCTCTCAGAAATAAACATTTAAAATAATAATAAATAAATAAATAAATAAATAAATAAATAAATAAAGGAAAGGGCATAATTCATGCAGGAATGAGGAAGAAAACCAGGGAACTTGCCGCTCTGGTTTGAGGGGGCTGAACTGGCAACTTGGACTGTGGTCTTCAGGCAGTCCAGCATTGGCCAGTGCTTTCCTGCTCCACACAGAGCTTAAAATCTTCCTGCTGGCATGCAAACTGAGAATTGGCTGGGCATGGAATCTGTTGCCATGAGATGAATTGGTATACACTCTTTTTATTTTTATTTTATTTTTTATTGAAGCATAGTTGATACACAATGTTATGTTGGTTTCAGGCATACAACATAGTGATTCAACAAATCTACACGTTATGCTGTGCTCACAAGTATGGCTACCATCTGTCACCATACAACACTATTATAATACCATTGATTGTATTCCCTATGCTGTACCTTTTATCCCTGGGTACACACTCTTTTAATTTGTCAATTTGTCCAAGGCCAAAATTAAAGTTTGTTCTTTTCCTCTAGCAGTGAGAAGGGAAGAAAGAGTAGAGAACACTGGAAAGTTCCAGGGAAACCAGAAGGGTCTAGTATAGTGATTTGCAAGCATGGTGATTTTTTTCTCTAAGGGGACATCTGGAAATGTCTGTAGACATTTTTGGTTGTCACAACTGGGGTAGGGGTGTGCTAGAGTTCATGATGCAACTAAAATCCTATAATGCATGGGGTAGCCCCCTGCAACAAAGAATTATCTTGCCTAATATGTCAATAGTACCAAGATTGAAAAACCTTCATCTAGTGACTAGAATCTTCTGAAGTAGGCAACCCAGATTCTACCTGATCTGCCACTAGTTATATGATCCTGGGGGATGTCCCAACCTCTATGACCCAGCTTTCCACATACTTCATATACTGAGATCTCCAGTCATACTTCCAAAAATATTAGGCAGTAGTTAAGGGTCAAATAAGTTTGCAGATTCTATAGGCCATTAGCAAGTTCAGAGAACAGAATTATGAGTTTCTTCCTCTGTGGGGTGAGATAAGTGTAGGACTGGCCCCAGTCAGGCACCATGGCATTAGGGTGACTGACTATCCCAGTTTTCCTAGGAATGAAGGGTTTTCAGGGGCATGAAACTTTGAGTGCTAAACCTAGGGAAGTCCTTGGTAAGCCAGGATGATTGGTCACCCTGCATGGGACGATGGTTTCATCAAGTAGTTACATGGCACTATTATATGCTGGCTTTGGGAAGTTACTTGCTGAATGTTCTCTATCCTCTCTCTGTCAGAGGAGTTAAGAGGAGAACAAAGGAGATCTTATAAGGAGGTTTCCCCTTATTTGCTTTTTGGGAAGGCAGGAAAGGGCCTCTTGTTTCAATGACCCTGTGGGCAATAGAAGTTATTTGTGGGCATGGAATAAAGGAAACCAGGGATATAAGGAACCCACCATATTCAGTACTCTCCTTAGCTTGCATCTCCCCTATTGCCCAAAATATTTCTTTTTAGGAGACTGATTACCCAAGGGTTTATAATTTAAGTACTTTTTAACCTTGATGATCCAAGGGGCAGGGCCTGAGTGTTCCCAAATAAAGATGCCTTTGGGCAAGAGGCCCAGACTCACACCATAAGTGGCCAGCTGCCCCTCTGTACTTCCTCTTTTCTGCCTGAAGGACCTTTGATTTCCCTGACATGGCATTCTGTGCCAGGGGTTGCTTCCCACAGCTGCCATTCAGAGAGCAACCCTAGTGAGCATTCTCTTCCGTGTATTTTTTCCTCCATAATGAATTGGCTAGTTTATAGGTTGTGGCATAAGTGGTTTTCATTTTCAGACCGGTGATCCAGGAATGCCTTTGAATTTGGGGCACACAGCTTCCCAAAGAACTCTGGAATTCTCTGCCTTGGTTGTATCTGGAAAAGCTCAGCAAGTGCCCACAGGAAGGAGGCTATGTGGGGGCACTGAAGCCACATGGATTGGCTAAGTAGGAAGAGTCAAGTAAGCCCTAGAACTGAGAAAGCAAGAAGAGGTGTTGGGACACAGGGGCTGTTGTTACCCCAGATGTTTTATGCTTCTGTGCTCCCCCTGAATATATGACTCCTTGAGTTGGTGCTGGAGCTGTCTGCTGGCAGAGCCACTGCAGACTGGTATTTAGCACCTGCTCCCTTGAAACCATGTCTGTTACTAGTCCCCCAACTCTGCTTGACTGTTTGTCTCCAGTAGTAGGCACTAGGGATACAAAGACAAATAAGAGATATCCCTGAACTCAAGGCATTTAGTTTTAATAGAAGGGAGAAAAGTAAAGCAGCAAGTACAATATGAGGTGATAACTTTTACATGTCTTTCCAGAGGAAGGGCATGAAGTCCGGCTCCTTAGAAAAGTATTTGAATTGAATCTTAATTGCCAAGAGCTCTTTATTGTTCTCTAAATGTTCCTTTTTTGCTGCATTCTGTTCTTGTTTCATGATATAATGTCTTAATTTTTCATTGATCTCTCTAGGGATATAATTGATTATTTTTGAAGTTTTTTCCCTTCTGTATACTTTCTGTTCCCTCTAAATTGCTTGTTTTGGTGTTGGCCTTTCATATTAGATGTTTTCCTTAAATGTTTGGTAAGTTTTAGCTGCCTTCATATTTTAAAGTGAGGCAGTGTTGGGGCACCTGGTAGCTCAGTTGGTTGAGTGTCCGATTATTGATTTTGGCTCAGGTCCTGATCCCAGGGTCATGGGATTGAGCCCCACATCGGGCTCCACACTGAGCATGGAGTCTGCTTAGGATTCTCTTCTCTCTCTCTCTCTCTCTCTCTCTCTCTCTCTCTCTCTCCCTCTCTGCCCTACTCCCCCCATTCGCATGCATACTCTCTCTCTCTCTCTAAAATTAAATAAAAATTTAAAGAAAAAGCAAGGCATTGAAAAGCTGGTTGGAAGTTCTGGTTAACTAAACTTAACCTTTCCTCCCAACTAATCCAGCTCTCGTCCTATTCAGAGGAAGACACTAGTGTCTAGTGGCTAGGAATGTGGGCTTTGTGATCTGACTGAGGTGTGTCCTTGGGGAAGCCCTCATAACCAGTATTACTAGGTCTTTTATCTTGGATGGTCAGATTTCCTAGACAAGGCTTTTCTGACCTCCTGCCTATGTCTGAGGTCTGAGTTATGAAGAGGCTGAGGCCATTACAATATTTAGTATAGAATTTTCAGTGATCCTCCTGTTTTAAGTTCAGTACCCCTATCCTCAGCTGAGCCCAGTGTTCCCAATCCATAGATTCCCTATAAAAATAAGCCTCTAGTCCTTCACTGTGGAGGGGGAGGAGTTGAGATCTGATAGTCCAGTGATTCTTGGGCTTCCAGCAGTTTCTCTTGTTTTAGCTTCACCTTCATCCCACTGCTACCAGTTCCCCTTAGAGCTTCTGTGATATAAGTCTGGTTGCTTCTTGGTTGTGCCTACTTTTGGTTTAAGGTTTGGTAGATATTTACTATTTGCCTCCCTGATTTTTATGTGTTGCTTTCATTCTTTTTGTTTTCCTCAGTTTATATCTAAAATAATAATAATAATAATAATAACTCTTTTCTATGATTTTAGTGTGGCTTGGAGAGAAAGCAGAGTTAAAGGCATGAATTAAGATTTAGTTTTTTTGAAGTAAAGTGAATTCTCTTCATAGAACTGAGAATTTAGACTTCTGAGTTTTTTCCCTAGTTTGTATTTGCCTCACTATGTATATATTTCTCCAAGTCCTATCTTGACTTCCCTATTTCTCCAATTGTTTTGGCATCACTTATTCAAGCTTTGGCCTCTGGATACCTCAGTTTTGCATTGAGTTGAAAGATACTAGTTATACTTCTTCCATATTTCCACAAAGGAGAGATTTAGTGTCATTAAGTCATTGGGGCAACCACGTTGATTGTAAAACTACTACTGGGTAGATGACACATTTCCCAACTGTGGAGAAGAGAAGAAAACACAAAAGAAGAAGTGATGCTTACTCTTAAGAATTCATAGTTTCTTAGATGAGGTAGTATTTTACTCTTTTAAAGAGAGTTCTTTAGGGGCGCCTGGGTGACTCAGTCAGTTAAACATCCAACTCTTGATTTCAGCTCAGGTAATTACCTCACGGTTCTGAGTTCAAACCCCACATTGGGCTCTACGCTGACAGCACAGAGCCTGCTTGGGATTCTCTCTCCCCTCCTTGTGCTGTCTCTCTCTTTCTCTCTGAAAATAAATAAGCTTTAAAAAAAGAGAGAGTTCTTTAGTGGAAAGGAGCAATATAAATCATTGATTTTAATTATTATTCATAGTGTTTCCTCTTTATTTATCATGCATCTTCAGGAAATGGAAAACTGCTTTCTTAAAAATCATTCATTTTTGTAACTGTTCATTCAAGCTGTTGAATCCATACTCAGATGAAAAGAAAGAAAATGTGGTCTCCTGAATACCCTTCTTCAGACAGGATAACAGATGCCTCTTCCTCACTTCTTAGTCAGCCTGGAATCTGGAAGACCGTTTGAATTACTTAGAAAGGCTTTTAATGCTACCAGTTAAATATCAGTTCTCCTGTGTAGAGAATATACAGAGTTGATCTTATTATGGGAAGTGATGTCAGGTCCAAAATAAGGTGAAGCTGATTTAAGATACTCTGTATCAAAAATGAGACCTTTAAACTCTAATGTACTTTGATTTTGTCAATGCCCCAATATTCTTTATTCTTTCCACCACCTCTAGCTGATCCTAAAGAATCAGTACATCCATAAGGTCCCTCTAACCCAGGATTTCTTAGCCTTGGCACCATGGACATTTTGGGCCAGACAACTTTGTTGTGGGGGCTGTCCTGTGCCTACGGTGTTTAGCAGCCTCCTGGCTTCTACCCACTGGATGCCAGTAGCAAGCTCCCAAGTGGTGACAATCAAAAATGTCTCCAGATTAGCCCCCAGTTGAGACCACTGCTCTAATATGAAGCCATTAATAAAACCAGCTCCTCTTTGTAAACCTGCCTTGACTGAACTTAACCTTTCCTCCCAACTAATCCAGCTCTGGTCCTGTTCCAAGGAAGACACGGGGGCCTAATGGCTAAGAATGTGGACTTGGTGATCTGACAGACCTGGGTTTGAATCCTGATTCTGCCATTTACTAGCTGTGTGTCCTTGGATGGGATAGTTTGTCTCCTTCAGCCTTGGTTTCCCCATATTTACAAGTGGAAATAATCGCATATTTCACAGAGTTGTTGTAAGGGTTAAGTGAGAAAACACGCATAAAGCCTCTGACACACAGCACGTACTAATAAGTAAGTGCTAGAGGTTATTATCAATATAATACCCGTACTCTCCTCTGTTGTTCACTCTGCACCCCCTGCCCCCACACATATGCACCCAGCTACCACACTCTGTTTCTCCCTCTCAAGGAAATCGCACGGCACCAAAATGTCAGCACTCTTGAACTTCAGCTTGCTTAGTTGCAATCAGCACTTTTAATTCCTAGATAGGAGCTAGAGGCCCCTGTGTGGGAACAGAGAGCTCCAGCAGGGAAGAGTGGGCACCTTGTGGCTGGAAGTATGTTTGGGAGGAAACAGACACAAGTCCTAGGCTTCCTGGCCTCCTCATTAAGAAAAGAGATTGGACTCCCAGACGGTTGCTTCGACGGGGAATTTGAAAACGATATTTCTCTCCTTTTATATATTCCTTCCTGTGGCAGCTCTAGTTTCACCTGATGTGGGTTTTATTCCTTCTAGGCTCTTACCTGAATTATTGTGTGGGTCTATAGTCTTCTTAGGGTTGTTTTCTAGACCACAGGGTGGCTGTAAGGATGAAATGAGAAGACGGGTGTGTAGCACTCGGCACAGAGCCAAACGTATACTAAACGCTCAGTAAATGATAACTGCCATTTTTATTGCTGCTGCTGTTCTGGTTCCTGTGAGAAAGGGCGTTCGATCTTCACGAAGCAGACCAGACTGACCCCTAGAATGCTAGAGCAGGAGAAAGAGCTTTTGGAGCCTGTCTCCTTCCGTATTTTGTATCTGAAATGTCCAAAAAGCAGACTACTCCACAGGCAGTGCTGCCTTCTTCAGGGTTCCTAACCAGCCAGGGAAAGGGCTTTGCTCTAGGGATCTGAGTGGTGGTGGTGTTTCCTGCGTGCTTGGTGTTGTGAGACGGCTAAGCAATACAAATTACTTAGCCAATATAAAGGAGTAATGATTACAAGTGTTAATAAATAGAAGTGAATAATAGATGATGGGAGACGCGAAGTCATTTTAATAATAAGACATATTGGCTCAGTTCAAGTGCTGCTTTCCTGTGCTTTGGAGTGGTCTTTAATATACAATGTTTGCTGAACCGAACACTTAAGAATTTTTCCCTTCAGGGTATGAGGGTATTGCTTCACGTGGGACATGAATCTGAATCTGTCAGTCTGTAAAGCAGAACTTGACCCCATTGGCTTGACCTCTGGGGGTGGGGGCGGGGGGTGTCTTGCAGGTCATGAAGACATATCACATGTACAATGCCGACAGCATCAGTGCTCAGAGCAAACTAAAGGAGGCAGAGAAGCAGGAGGAGAAGCAAATTGGAAAATCGGTAAAGCAGGAAGACCGGCAGACCCCACGCTCCCCTGACTCCTCATCCAACGTCCGCATCGAGGAGAAGCATGTCCGGAGGAGCTCGGTGAAGAAGATTGAGAAAATGAAGGAGAAGGTACGTGTGCTTCAGCAGCTTAGGGGCTGGGGACGAGCACTGTGGAAGTCAGGACCGATAGGAGTTTTCCAGTAGGTGCTGTGAAGAACAGAACAAGGTAACTCTGGTTCCTTTAGGGCCTAACAGCCAAAAGTCAGTCCTTGCTGTCTGCCCTGGAAGAAATTGTGGATACTGGAAGAACTTGGGCCCGGGGCGGAGGGCTCCTAGTTCTTCACCTGTAGCAGATTCACAAGAAACCATAGAAACCTTTCCCAAACCTTTCCCAAACCTGGGAGAGGGACTGCACATCTAGGGTTTGGCTTCACATGTCCCGTATTCAGAAGGTAGTGACACCTTCTTCTGGACGGTGGCACAAGGATAGAGGATGGTATTTGCAGATAGAACCAAAGTGGGACATGTGTCTAAAGTAGGGAGCCTCATTAACCTTTCCTGGATTGATCTACATTATGACCTCGAATCTCATTAAACAGAATTAGAACCCAATTTAAGGCAGACAGCGCGTAGGGAGTAGCAGCACAATTGTGGTTCTCGAATGTACTGTCCTTTCATCTTTTAGAGAACAAGCTCCCCTTTAAAAAAAAAAAAAAAAAAGAATATAACTTTTGTTCTCTTTTCAGCGCCAAGCCAAGTATACAGAAAATAAGTTGAAGGCCATTAAAGCCCGGAATGAATACTTGCTGGCTCTGGAGGCAACCAATGCATCTGTCTTCAAGTACTATATCCACGACCTGTCTGACCTTATTGATGTAAGTGCTTAAAGCTGGGGGCTCAAGGGCACGTTTTTCCTGGTTTTAGAGAACTGGTCAGGTGTTCGTTCCCCAGTCCTGTTGCCCCGGCGTCTTGGAGCATTTGGAGAAGGATTACGAAGATAGTAGCCACAGCCCGTTAGGGGTTTTGCCATGTACCAGGTACCAGGTGAAGCCCTCTTTGTCTTTTTCAGGTCTTACTAGAATCCTGGGAGGAAGGCACTCTTGTCTCCACTTTTACAGTTTAAAATTCCGAGTTTAGATGACTTCCTCAGAGTCAGCTAATAAGTGACAGGGGCGAAATTTGTACCTAGGTCTGATTACTCAACTCATGCTCATAACTGCAATGCGCTTCTGTCTCCAGGGAATACTCTCTCACATCAGCTACTTGCACCTAGAAGTGAGTGGAAAGAGCTAAGGAGTTCGAATGCCATGCCTTATATTTAGATGGCACTTAACGTCTCCCACTGCTATTTCACTTGATAGTCATATTGCCCTCTGGATCAGTGTTACCACCTACAATTTGAAGATAAGGAATCTGGGGCTCAGGAGGGTTCCCTGCCCCCAGTTACACTGCAGATGAGGGTCCTGGTCGGGAAGGCATCCAGATGCCCCTGACATATGGCCCATTCTCTCTGATACGTGATACAAAGATGACGAGAGCAGTAGGTAGCTAGGCGCGTGTGTTTTGCTTGGGGCGGGCACGAGGGATACGCTTTGTGTCTTTGGCCTCATGGGTCAGCCTTGGCCAGTTTTTCCTGCTGCTTTTCCTCACACTTCGTGGTTGAGTCTTGCAGTCTCTCCCACCCGCAGCCTCCCATCTGGCCCAGTTCCCGAGCCAGTCCTGACCGTAGCTGCATAAATACACCCTTCCCTCCAGTCTTTAAAGTGGAGGGCCTGGAGCCGGCTGGCTTAGTGTCAGCTGCCCAGCCTCCTGGCCTTCAGGTACACGGGGCTGGCCTTCTCTCTGAGGCCTGATGTTTGCCTCTAGCTGTTAGCAGGCAGCCACTGGGCTTTACCAGCTTCTGGCCACCCCCTGCACACTCGTTCGCCTGACGTGGTTTCTCGGTGCATGAACCTACCACACTTTACCACGTAGGGTCTGGTCTAAGATTCAGGTCATCCCGGCCTTGTCACTGAACTGTTTTGGAACTCTGCCTTACTCCCCTCTCCCCGACCTCTCTCTGGCAAACAGAACTAGACTAGATCATTGGTACTTAAATCTGGCCTTACATGCTTGGGGAACTTTTCTAAATTAGTTCCTTCGGGGGCTCCTGGGTGGCTCACTCAGGGAAGCATCTGACTCTTGGTTTCAGCTCAGATCATGATCTTGCAGTTTTGTGAGTTTGAGCCCCGCATCAGGCTCTGTGCTGACAGCATAGAGCCTCCCTCTGTCTGTGCCCCTCTCCCGCTCGGGCTGCTCTGTCTCTCTCAAAGTAAACAAATAAACTTTAAAAAAAATAAGTAAATAAATAAAAGCGTTCCTTCAGCTGGGGATTTTTGATGCAGTAGATTTCAGCCTCTTAATGCCCTGAGTGTCATTGTCTTCCTGGGTAAGTGGAGCCCTGATCCCTGCTCAGGCACCGCTTTGTTCTCTTTGCTCGTTGAAGCCAATCTGAACACTGTCCTTCAGCGGAGGTCGGAGCCCTAAACAAGATCCTTTCTTCTCCTGAGAGGAATGGCTCTTCTCTGTTGGGGCAGATGCCTGTTCTCAGCACAAGGAAGAGAATCCTTTCTTATGCTCCATTTCTACTATGTATCTCGCATTTGGTGAAAAAAAAAAATCAGGCTATGCAGTCCATCACACCTCTTCCTCTGGTTTGTCCTTTCCTCTTTCTTTGGCCCCCGGGGCACCTTTCCCACCCCTTTCACCAAAATGCTGACCTCAGGGGGAGAGAGGGCCCTACTGCTGTGTCAGTCATGAGCTTTGCAGCCCATAGACTCTATAGCAGGTGTAAGTAGGTGTTTTAAAATCAGTCGAAGTAGCAAGCTCTTTTGCAACTTTTTCTCATTTAACAAGAAGAAGAAGAAGAAGAAAGGTATGTTAAGAGCCTGTCTTCCTGGGATGTGATATGGGGTCTCATGAAAAAGAACCCTACCAGCCTCCTCAGTGCTCAGTCAAGGTGCGGGTGTAGGCTACTGTGGCATTCTGGGCCACTCAGTAAAGCGCTCTGGTTTTGTTTTGTTTGTTGTTTGTTTTGCTTTTGTTTTTTGCCTAAGGTGAGGACAGATGTATTACTCTTTTTTTTTTTTTTTTTTTTTTTTTTGTAAAGCTGATAACATTCTGCTCAGTAAATATTTCTTTGGAATGAGGCTATGTGCTTACCATCAAAAATAATTTTTGCCCTAGAGGTATTCATAGACATACGAAGAAATAATTTCCATGTAACTGGCTTATTGCAACACTAAGCACAGGGGGCTTACCTAGGACAGTGGTTTTCAAACTGTAGGCCATGAGCCATTAGGGGAAGTCATGAAATCACTTTTATGGGTTGAACTAGCCATAGAATAGAATAGAATAGAATAGAATAGAATAGAATAGAATAGAAAGGAAAATAAAATATCTTGGTACATCATACTAGTAAGGTTAAGTTTTATTTTGTGAAGCTGTTACGTTAGGGGTGTGTGTGTGTGTGTGTGTGTGTGTGTGTGTGTGACAGGATAAGATATATTTCTTACTGTGAGTTGAAAGTTAAAAAAAGTTTGAATCACTGCACTAAGAGCAGAGGAAAGTGTCTTAGTCTCCTCTATAAGTTCCCTGAGGGCAGGAAACAAGTCTCTTTGCCTTAATATATAAACCAGGGCACCTGGCTGGCTCAGTTGGAAGAGCATGCAGCTCTTGATCTTGGGGTTGTGAGCTGAAGCCCCGCATTGGGTGTAGAGATTACTTAAGTAAGTAAATAAAAACTTTAAAGAAAATACCTTACTGTATAAACATATACAAGGTGTGCTTAATATATAGCTGAACACATTGTATATTCATTGAAGGAAGAAAGAAACAGAGGAGGAAGAAGGTAATTTCCTAAGGCACAATTTTTTTTTCCTTTTTGTGCCTTTTAATACTGTTTGAAGATATAGTTTACATTCAGTGCCTGAACTTAAGTGTTACAGTTTCAAGAGTTCTGATAAATTCAAACATCCTGTAACCTACATCTCTATGAAGATATAGAATATTTCCATCACCTCAGAAAGTTCCTCTTTTCTCTTCCCAGTTAGTCCTTCACCCCAAAGCAGCCACTGTTTTGAGTTCTTTCACCATAAATTAGTTTTGTCTTCTGTAACACTTCACAAAGATGGGATTTTACAGTATATACTTTTTGTATCTGGCCTTTTTTGCCCAGCATCATGTTTCTGAGTGTCATCCCTACTATTACATATTATTAGTAGTTCTTTCTTTCTTTCTTTCTTTCTTTCTTTCTTTCTTTCTTTCTTTCTTTCTTATAGCATGTGTGAGCTGGGGCTAGGGGCAGAGAGAGAGGGAGAGAATCTTAGGCAGGCTCCACACTCAGTGCAGAGCCTGACGCGGGGCTTGATCTCACGACCCTGGGATCATGACCTGAGCCGAAATCAAGAGTGGGACATCAACTGACTGAGCCACCCAGGCGCCCCTCGGTAGTTTTCTAGACGATCCATGCAATAAAAACGGCCCAAAGGATGATTTGGCAGTAAACCAACAGTTAGGGCGTGAGTGAGTAGGGAGCCTGGGTATCTTAATGTTCTGACCTTCACAGTTTCTAGAGCTTGCGTTAAGACATGGGAGGACTCGCGAGCCAGTCTATTGCCATCTGTGTTATGTGCACCATGCTGCCTCCTTCCTAGTGGTGTGCAAGTGCAATGTGTGCTGAAAGCATCGAGGACAAGTGAAAAGAAGTTATTTTTGTCGATGCCAGTGCATTGACACAAGGACTAGCCTTTGACTTCGTTTTATAATATAGTAAGATTTCAACTGAGACTGTAGAAGTCCGCACGAGGCATCTGAAACACACCAGGAAAACCTTGACTTCAAGCCAAAAAGACATTCTGAGCTGACCTACAGTCTAAGAACTGTAGGCTCACTGGGAATGTGGCTTTCCTCCCCCGTACTCCTGTGGCTTTCCCAACCCAGGAGCAGACGGATGAATGAAGAACAGGGCATTGTCCTCGTGCGTAAGCCGGAGGGTTGTGAGTGCTAAGTACGCGGGTAGAGAATCTGTGACACCGTGTGCACCCAAGTTGGACACGAGAGAACTCAGCTTTCTTAGGAGGAAATCTTATAAACGACATTTATTTTTCTCTTCTGTGTGACCTTGAAGAGGCTGTTATGAAACACCCATGTTTCTTTTCTAGGCCTTCTCTAGAGCCTCTGGGTGAGGACATGAACTAGAAAAGGGTTAATGAGCTGTCAACTCAAGTCATCACACATCTGGATAGGCTATCATTAAATTCTTATAAAAATTTGATTTCCCCTGAGAGAGTTTTCATCAAACATTTATATAACCCAGCAATGGCCAGGGGAGCTCGGCATGGCCACAGAACTCATCAGAAGCCACCGAAAGCATACTTTGTCCCCATTGTGAGAAAACTAATGTGCTGCCTCTACTCACTATTCTATTCTCCCAGGAACAGAGATGAAACATTCAAATCTCGTTTACCTAACCTTGCCAGAAATTGCTTCTTTGCTAAAGCCTCAGTTTCTGGCTGTCACCCTTGTGGAGATTTGTGGATAGCCGAGGCTCTGGAAAACCTATTCCAAATCTCCCTGGCTTGGCTGGAGGCAAAGAAGAGCCAGAGGGCACATTGTGAGTCAGACCCCCACTCTCTGGCACAGAGAAGCTATAGAACAGTTACATAAATGAGGCGCAGGCAGCCTTGCATAGGCCATACAGAGTGAGCAAAACAATGGGCTTCAGTGGCCACATCTACCCACTTGACGTAGGGTGTTCAGCCTAAATGGATTATTTCCCGAAAGGCTAGAATCCTGTACTCCTGGCATCGGTCAGTCACCTGCTGTTTATCAAATGCCAACTGTGAACAAGGTTTCGTGGTAAGGGATACAAAGAAGGAATGACACTGGTCAGGCCCTCTTTGAGGCTTGCCTTCTGGTTGGGGTGATATGAGATGGCAAGTCACAGAGTGAGGGAGTGTGTTCTGTGTCACGTGAGGGCTGCAGATGAGTGTGGTTCTGAGTGGGGGCCAAGGTCAATATATGCCAGGGTTGCAGGGCTGGCTGGCTTCCCAGAGGCTGGGAATTTCATTTGGATCTTGAAGACTGGGTCCATTTCCAACAAGTGAGAAGAATGGGAAATATGTCAAGGGAAGAAAATGCTGGGGAAAGGGCAGAGGTCAGGGGTTTGGGAATCTTGGTGATTGATGTTTAAGTGGCTGCGTGGTGCCAGATGCATGTAAATGCAGTGCCTGTTATCAGCCTCACAACAACCTACAAGGCCGGTGTTGTCCCCATTGGAGGCTGAGAGAGGCTACATTGCTTGCTGGCCATCACGTAGCTGATTTGAGACCTGCTGTTTTCCAGTCCTCTTCCCTAAGCGGGAGTATGTCATTGGTTAGAGCAGAAGAAAGGAAAGCAAGAAAATAGAGGGAGGTGATGTTGATGGTCAGACTGAAGACAGATTGCCATTTGTGCTGGCCATTGGCCTTGCTTAACTTCGCTGAGCATCACCTGTCTAGCCTGGGAAATTAAGATAATACCAACCTCGTCGGGGTTATTAGGATTAAGATGTAGAATGCACATAAAGCGCTTAGGACACATCTGGTATACAGTAAGCATACTTAGTAAAATAGAGGCATTTTTAAATTTCCAAATTAAGGAAGGTGGACTTCACTTTAGAAAAAAATAAAAGCTTGTGTAGCTTTTATTCTTCAGCAGGGGAGTGGCATAACAAAAGCCACGTTCGAAGACAGTGAAGCAGACAGCACTGGTATAAGATAAGGGTATGAATCAAGGCAAAGGTAGAGAAAATGGAGAGGAAAGTGGGGTGACCAAAAATATGTAAAGGCTATGAGGGGTGCCCTGCCTCCCCCTAATTCTCTTCTGTATACAAAGCTCCCCACTGGCGGCGCGCCTGGGTGGCTCAGTCGGTTGAGTGTCCAACTTCGGCTCAGGTCATGATCTCGTGGTCTGTGGGTTCGAGCCCCGTGTCGGGCTCTGTGCTGACGGCTCAGAGCCTGGAGCCTGCTTCCGATTCTGTGTCTCCCTCTCTCTCTGCCCCTCCCCCGCTCATGCTCTGTCTTTCTCTCTCTCTCTGTCAAAAATAAATAAACATTAAGAAAAAAAATTTTTTTAAATAACAACAAAGCTCCCCACTGGCTCAGCCCTGGGGGCAGTGTTACTTCTGCTCATAGATTTACAGGCATCCAGTTCATCATCGGCATCTGCACAGAGCTAGTCAGGAAGGTTTACAAGTTCAAGGGCAGCCTGGGTAGACCAGCAGCCTCTTTCAGAGGAGGAAGGGCCCCTGCACGTGAAGTCTGCCAATCAGCTGCCTTTGTCTTGCTTCCATTTGCTTTTCCCTCCCAACTGAGTTTCCATCCTCCGCCTTTAGTTAAGCTGTCACTGTTGTTCTTCCGCTGCAGCCAGGCACCTGCTAGAGCCTGTTGGCACTGACCCAGAGCCTAGCCCAACAGGCGCTCTATTGCTAAGCTCCTCGTCAGATACGAGGAGGAGGAGGGCCGTCACATGCTTTTTATTCCCCAATCGTGGCTGCTCCCAATGTGAACGTGATGAGGGGAAAAGCTAGGTGAAGTTCATTTGATGCCTGCCCATGGAATGAAACAGCAGTCAGGCAGATGGTCTTACTCTATCCCTGGATTCTTCTCTCATGTTTCTTCTCAGGTTCTGGATCTCAGAGCTGCTTAAGCAATCGAGGGGATAATGGATGGCCAAGGAATTTGGATCCCTGGGTCCTTTGGGAGGGATGGGGAATATTGTCATAGAGTTACAGAATGCCATTGCTGAAGAGGGCCTTAGGGATCATAATCAGTCCAGGTATTTTCAGACTTTGTCTCTAGCAGAATTCTTTCTTCAAACTAGGCCTCATCCCAGTATATTAGGTAGATAAAAGAGCAAAGCTAGTTTGGCTGAACCAGAGATGGGAGGCTCCCACTTGTACTATTTGCTGCCCTATTATCTCCTTCTCAGGGGCAGCCTGAGCAGTGGCATAGAACCTTACAGCTGTGGTGTGCAGCTTAAAAACCACTGGCCTAGCCAAATCTGTTCCTTTTACAGCCAAGGAAACAGGTTCAGGGTTGGGGAGTGGCTTTGCCAAGGTTGCTTGACTTCCTGTCCAGTGCTGGGTTTTTTTGTTTTTTTTTTTTTAATATTGCCTCTCTCATACCATTTTTTCCTCCCATTTTTACCCTAGAAAATCAGAATCCTTCACATGATCTGAATTTTCCCAGTAAGACTTATGCTTAGAAATTATTGGTCTTGGAACTCCTGGGTGGCTTAGTCGATTAAGCATCTGCGTCTTGATTTCGGCTCAGATCATGATCTCACGGTTCATGGGTTTGAGCCCCATGTCTGGCTCTGTGCTACAGTAGGGAGCCTCCTTGGGATTCTCTCTTTCAGTCTCTGTGTGCTCCTCCCCAACTCGTGCTCTCTCTCTCTCTCTCTCTCTCTCAAAATAAACTTAGAAAAGAAAAAAAAAATTTTGGTCTTATAAATATTATTTCTGTTGGGCAGGAGCTTTAGTGCAGAAATCCGAGGCTGCAGCTGAGGCCCGTCTTAGAATGGGCGTTGGTGGGGGTGATAACCGACAGAGTCTGCCCCCCATTCTTTTATTTGCCCCCGAGAGTTCAGAGTTTCCGTAAATGATCTGCTCTTGCAACACTTGGGATTTGTGAACCTTGAATGCCGAAATGGCCTGGCTTGGTTCATGTGTAGTGACTTGACCACAGTGACCCTCAGGGAGAAGCAGGCAATATTTTTGTTGTTGAGTTTTGTTATAATGGTATCCCCAGAGAAATCCTAAAATGGAAGAGGATTCCCTTTAACTCTCAGCTCTTCTCATGTTTACTGAGTAGCCAGCCGTGCGCAGCACATGATTAAATAATCTCATCCTATCCTCTCCTTCTGACCACCCTGCAGTCCTCTGAGGCGTGTTTACCATTGGACTGGCAGCTAAAACCATAAATCTCACCCAGATCTTGGAAGCCAGAATGCCAGTCTCATCGATAGGGTCATATTTGCCATGGGGGCCACCATCCCCTTCTCCCAAGCCTCGGGACTGTCCACGGTTTGCTCATGTGCCTTCTCCGTCCCACAGCAGTGTTGTGATTTAGGCTACCACGCTAGCCTGAACCGGGCGCTACGCACCTTCCTCTCTGCTGAGCTGAATCTGGAGCAGTCCAAGCACGAGGGTCTGGATGCCATCGAGAATGCCGTAGAAAACCTGGATGCCACCAGTGACAAGCAGCGCCTCATGGAGATGTACAACAATGTCTTCTGCCCACCTATGAAGTTTGAGTTCCAGCCCCACATGGGGGACATGGTGAGGCCTTCATCCCATCACCACACTCCCTTGTGTCCAGATTCACTAGACTAAGGCCACGTTATTCTGGGGCTGGCTTCCTGTCAGGTGGGTGAGGAGCATTCCACTCATTCGGCAAAGAGCTACCGAGCCCCTGCCGGGCTTGACCATAGACGCTGGGGATTAGGGCCCTCAGGGAGCTTCCAGTCTGGCGAGTGGAGAGAGAGTTCAAAATGTGCATAGGGAGGGGCACCCAAAAGGTCCAGCAGGATCCGTGGAGGTGAAAAACAGCAGGTGTGTTCTAAAAACTGACAGTTGAGTATGCTGAGAGGGAAATCGTTGGCGGAAGCTTCCAAATGATGAGTCTGGGAGAAGAGCTGAGATGGTGCCAGATACTAAAGGCTTTTGATGGGGAGGAAGGGCTAAGCAGGGCAATAATGATGTGATCTTTTGTCACTTGGCAGAGATCCGAAGGATCTTACTCTCTTGGCTTTAGAAGATTGCAATAAAAGGTGTAGTTTTGCTTGGGTATTGAACAAAAAAGAATGAGTACCTACAGACAAGACAGTAGCTAAGATGTCATCCCAGAGGCCTGATGCTGTCTGCCCAGGCAGAAGAACAGAAACATGGGGGCCCTGCTTTGAACCTTTCACCTCCAAGACTAAAACAAGAAGGGCCTCAATAAAGTGAGAAGAACAAGAAGCTCTTTGGTTTTCATTACTCTGAATCTTTTGGTTCCACTTGGGGTGGTTGTGCATGCAAATGAGAGTGAACCCCATTCCTGCGGTGGAAACTACCCCTTAAACTCTGGGCTAAAGCAGAAGGAGGATGTATAGGCTTACGTGATAGAAACAAATGGATCTTCAGGCATGTTTGGATTTAGGATTGGGAATTTATCAAGACTCAGGGGCTTTTTTCTCTGTTTCACATTTTATACAGATTCTATTCTCAGGTAGACTCTTCTCCCATGAGGGCAAGGTGTCTGTATTTCCAGCCTGCTCCAAGATCCAAATAGATCCAAATCCAGTGGAAAGACTATCTGCTTCCCTTCTAGAAGCCCCCACAAAGTTCCCCATCATTTTGATTGGCTGATGTATTTATCCCTGAGCCAATTATTGTGACTGTGTATCTTCAGGTGACTGACTGGCTTATGCCTACATCACATGCTCCATTCCTGAGTTGGGGAGAGCCCCATCCAAAGTACCTGACCTGAGTTGTGGGGTGGGATATTCCTCCAGAGGAGAGTCAGGCCAAAGTTACCAGAAGAAGGAGGAATGGATCCCAAATGACTAGAAAACAACGATGTCAACAAGGGTATATGGTGTTTCCTTCAGGATTAGTATCCAGATGCTTTTTAGAAAACCCTGCTCCAGAATGACAACTGTTGCAGTGTAACCAGAAGATTCGCTGTCATCAGTAGGCCACAGTGCAGAGGCGGATATTTCTATCCTGAAGACAAAAATGTGGAGATGATTTCTTTCCTCTCCTTGGGGAAAACCAAACCATGTACAGTTTGTTTCCATTTCTGTGACTTAGGAAATGTTAGTGTCTGAACAGATGGGAAAGTGAGCTGGCAGCGTGTGCAGTCAGAGTGGGGGAAAGGGGTGTCACCAAGCCCGAGGAAGCCCCATTCCTCACCTGCCCTTGCTGCTGGTCCATCCGTCTTCCAGTCCCCTTCTCCAGCTGCCACTGAGATTCCATCCCAAGAATCAGTGGAACTTGGGGACCGGCTGAGTGGAGTGATACATTTCCTGGTGTTGACTGAGTTCCCTTCTGAGCCAAACAGCTTGTCTCCATAAAGGGAGACTCCAAATGCTGGGTGCTCGGGCCCCCTCGTAGCCCTGTCAGTGCCTTAGTTTCATGCTCTGGAGCACAGCTGGAGTGCATTACCTTGCACCCCGGTAGGGGACCTCTGCCAAAGCATGCATCAGCAGCCCTGCTGCTTCTTAAAGGCACAGACGCAGAGGTAGGTTTCCCTCCACGAGTCCTTCTGCTAGGTCTGGGTTACTTTAAAAAGCAACAGTCCATTCTTCTGTCTGGGTCCTCTCTTTGTGTGATACAGCTGCTCAGTGGCTGAGCTAGGCAGGGGCCAGGGTCAGTCCTCAATCTTGCAGAGGTTCTGCATTCCAGCCTAGCCTTCAGAGGAGTAGAAAATAAAGAGATGAGAAGGCGAGTTTTTCTGGGTCCCCACAGCCAGTCTCTCCCCACCAGTGTGGGTTGTCTGTAGACTGTGGAGGCAATAAGAGGGAGCTGCCTGGAAGTCCTTGAACTAAGGCCAAGGTTCGGGTGGCATTTTGACCGGAAGTCCTGAAACTGGCCAAGGCCTCGCACTGACTGGTGTTCTGGGGCAGTCAGCACATGAGTGGATGCCAAGCACTCTCAGATGTACCGGGAGGAGGTGCTTGGCTCTACTCTTGGTGCCCCCACAGGCTTGTGGGGCTCTGGATGCCTGACCAGTGACATCAGGCAGCCAGAGAGTTTCACTCTTGGCTCTAACCCATCCTGGCCACTGAGCTTTCTCCATTGTGTCTGCTTATCCAAGAGCCAGAGTGAAGTCAGCTCTCTTCAGATCTGAGAGCTGGCTCAGGCCAGCTCCTCAGCTGGGGGAGGAGGTCAAGTCAGTTGGGAGCTTAAAAGCCAATGGAGGAAAAGGTCAGGTCTCAGCCCCCTCCATTTGAAGAGAGGTTTTGTCTTCTAAGCAAGAGAATGGTCTGTGGGCATGTGAATGTGCCCACTCATTGCTGAGGAAGAAGGAGGCCAGTTCTATCCAGATGTCTCTATGCAGACAAGAGGCTAAGGGACACATGGTGGCAAGGTGACAGGAGCTGCCTCCACGTGGGTCCTGCCTCCTAATCTGCCAGCCTTCTGTTCCTCATCTGTCATCCTGGGGACTGTGGGTGACCTCATGCCCGTGCCATAGCCATGCCCCCATCAGGAGACAGTGGCTCAACCATCTTTTCACGCAGGGAAAAGCTTATTGGCAGTCGTTCTTAGGGAAGGGCAGACTCCTTTCCCACACAGATCTGGGGCAAAAGGATGGAGATCCACCAGATTCTGTGCCCTGTGGGGCCCTCTAGCATAGCCTGGGGACTTGTTCCTGGCTTCACGCTCTCTCTCGTTGAGTCAGACCTCTCATGCATGGCCCAGATTTATAAACACATGCCGGCTGCCAACAGCGGCAAGCTAGCCTCCTGACCCACTTCTCTCCTGCTTTCACTCTGGTGCACGGAGGGGAATGAAGGAGGGGCCGGAGAGGTGGCCACTCGGACTTCTACAGGAAATCCTCCCGCCGGAGCATTGTGCATCTGGAGCTGGGGCTGCCCGAGGTGCTCTTCTCTGGCCTAACGCCGGCTTCCGTGGAGCTGCAGACCCTGCCAAGCGCCAGCCGGGGGATAAGCCCCAGAGAGACCTGATCTTTCCAAACAGGTCCCACTCCTCATTCCCTCCTTGTGTTCTTTGGTCCTGGAGGAGGCCCACACACTTTGCCTTTGGCTTTTGTTTTAACATAGAAACCGTGAGGCTTACGGCTTGAACATGAGTACTTTTATGAACAGTAATGGGACTCTGGAACCGCCAAAAGAACTGTGTCCTCTTCCTGACCTGGTATTGCTTTCTTTTGGCAGGCTTCCCAGCTCTGTGCCCAGCAGCCTGTCCAGAGCGAGCTGGTACAGAGATGCCAGCAACTGCAGTCTCGTCTGTCCACCCTGAAGATTGAGAACGAAGAGGTGAGTTTCCTGCTTAGGAGACTTGGAGCCACCCTCTGAGTTTCCCTGTTGAACCTCTTTCTTGCTGCCCATCTGGGAGCAGGTGGAAGGAGCATGCAGAGAATGTCCGGGCTGCCGCAAACATTTCCTAGCCAAATGTAGCCTTGGATTTTCCCCCCTGCTACATCCTGCCCTTGAACTCCAGGAAGTTGCTCTTGCATTGCCAAAGGTTGAGCTCTATTTTGAGCTTTGCAAAATGCTTTTTTTTCCCCCTCTACACATTTAATCAAAATGGCACTTGGCAGCTGTGTGAACAATATTGTGTCTCTGAAACCACCCCCTCATGCCTGGTTTTTTCCAGCATTTTCAAACAAACAGAGGCCTTTGACTTTGACACTTAAAACATCTCCATCGTCTTTGAAAAGGGGGACTTTCTTCTGGGCCCAGAGTACTTGCTTTCAACAGCTAGTTCAAAAGCATAGCGTGATTAATTATCCAGCTTCTTTCTTTTGTGCTCTCGTGACTTCTTACCTGGCATCTCAGTCAGTCAGGAAGATCAGGAAGGACTGGGGATGGGTCACTTCCTTGGCAAATGGGGAAACAAATTCACTGATTTGTTGAAACAGAACCTGGGGCGTTGCGGGACCAGGCCCGTCTCATATCTTAACTAGCTCTTTACATCATGGGGTTGGTTTGGGTTTGTTTTATTCTCTCCAGTAGCACTTCCATTATAGCCAAGAGCTAATATTAAATTTAAAAAGCAAACATTCACCAAAAGAGTTGGGTCAAATACATAGCATGAACGGGGGGGGGGGGG